TATATACACATATAAAGACAGGCTAACATAGAATATCTCTTATTAATTTAGATTAGACATAATGACATTACTTTCAGGGGAGAAAACGAGAGTAATGGATTTGTGTCCAATAAATTAACATCCTTTTACTGAGATTGTATGAGTTTAATCACTACATTGACCAATTAAACCATTGCAAAGCTTTGAAGAATGAATGAAAAGAACTTGTCGCCTTAAAAAATCCCTCCCTAAAGAATTCCCAATTTAATTTAATATTTTAAACTAACACTATCAAGTCTTCTAGGCAAACCTGTGTATATCTATGTTCAGTGCTCACACATTATTTTTTATAAATACCAGTAGGTACAAGAAAAATTTTCAATTTTTTGTAAGGGTTCTCATATCTCTCCAATTGACGCTTTGATGTACCTATACTCAAAAGTAGGAGTGACCAGGGAGATGGTGTTTGGATTTTCGCTTATAGGAGATAGGGGGTCTGCAGAATGGTCCTCACCTGGAGATTTGGACGCTAGACGTAGTTTTTCATAAGATATCATGGACATGAAGTATATACTCAGACCCACTTAAATTTAATGAAAACTCAATAATATCTTTCTTACATATTCGGCAAACGTACAGTATTTATCAGATGTAGAGTGCATTTCTCCATGTAGAATGTTTGTGGAAACCAAGCAGAATGTTTGTGTGTTTGCCTGGACGCAGAAGTGATAACTCCTTAACCAAATTACTCCATTTGCAATCACTAGTTAACTAACGTTTAGCCAAGAACGTGCGTTGCCTTTGAGGCACATTGATGCACGAAACAGACACACTGAATCACCCCTGATTTTGTCTATTTTACCCTCACTCCATATCTACATCATGAATGTTTAGGTTAAATTTTAATATGAATTATTTTATATTCTACATGGGTTAACGGATCTAATAGAGGTGTTGATTCCGTTACTACTTAAACAGTCCGACAGGTAGTATTTCAGCTGGGTTCTTCGGTCTTGGAATCCAGTGAATGTAGATTTAACGCGGCCATAGAACTACGGATGTGATGTTTGAAATAACGATTAAATTGCTTAAAGTTATTTTTAGATAAATTGTACTATAAATCATAAACAATTTAAAATAACATTACGCACGCTATAATCTCTAGTACATTTCATCACAATAAAACCACATTTTTCGTTGATGCTATACAGTTTGACTAGTTTAAATAGAAAAGAGGTACTTTTAAATATATATGTACTTCTGTTGAAGCAGCTTTTTGCTGCATGCACTTCTTGTCAAAGACAATTACTTCATTCTTTTATACTACGTTACACCACTTAAAGTAATTGCACTATTATCCATATCTTACTGCTAATGCAGATATAGATAGAATAATAGATAGAGATTTTTTTCAATACTAATATTAAATAAGGAATACCTAATTATGTAGTTTGAACCTGTAAAGACTATTTAAAATTTCACTCTTGTGCGTAAATAATCATATTTCTAAGTCATAGCTATTGTAATCTGGTTTAAGCAAATTTAAAGATTCCTAAATATTTGTAATGGATTTTTATCGTATTTTATTAAGATATTTTATTAAGATATCTTCGCAACAAAGTTAAATTTCAGATGATACAAATAACAAGATCACTTAATAATCTTATACTTCTTTTAACTTAAACTGTTAAATGAACCTAAGCATCTCAAAGTATCTCATCTCCAGTACAAACTTTGAAGTTTTTTTAAAAATCCTCACAGTATTAAATTAATATAAAAAGATGCAATAAAACTCCTAGATTTACGTTGGATATATTCCACCAGAATTTGATATGGTTTATATTTTACTTCGTATAAATTATTAAAATCTATTGCGTGGAATAGGTCCACGAGTAAGCCTGAAATCTATAATAATCCTAAATGTCAAAACTCCATGGATATGAATGCGCCCGCTTTGTAGGGTTGTGTACCATATCCCCTTACTTTTTGATATATAATCAAAACATTTTGTAAAGTTTCATATCTGACTAAGGTTTGTAATTTTAAATACTTACTTCTATCCAGCATAATTATTAAAAAAAAATTGCATGTCACCTAATACCGATATTCAGTTTTTACTTTCAACACAACCGATTAGATTAGAACTGCTACATCTCCCGTCAGAAAAGAAAAGAAAATTTTAAGTATAAAGATCCACGCACACTAGTTATAAATCTACAGTTTAAAAAATCTATTAGTATTACATTGAAGGAACAGTCACTATGATTATTATCTTTACAACCATCGGCATACGAATACAAACAATAAAACCTAAGATACCTATTAATATATTATAATATTATAATATATATATATGTACATGTATTATTTTAAGCACGGCTTAGTTAAAGATTTCTATCAGATAAAATAAATAAAATTATATTTAAAATTATTTAGATACGAAAACGATCGTTTTCCATGTCACCAACATCATTTAGCGCAGTAATAAATAGTTCTCAAAGTGAATTTATATTTCTTATTTCCGATATACGTCGTCTTTGAAAAATTGTAAATTATTGTACTTAAAAAGTTTTATATTTGAGAAAGTAGAACTATTATATTAATAATAATTATATTAATATATAACTACTTAGTAATAGAAACGTAGTAACAAGAGATTCAAACAATAAGTAATGTTGGCATATACACTGGGCTATTGCATTTGATTAATGTCTTAACTAATTCTCAAAATTTGAAGATTAGAATTCACCAAGCTTATATGTTTGTTAAAGGTAAAAATTTTCTTCAGTTTAACATTTTGTTACGTAAGTGCTACATATTAAGAAATAAATAGACATCGCCGGGCAACATCCTTGTATGGGTAAAATATAATATAACGAGTGAATATATAATTATTTCATAGTTATTTACTTTAAAGTTTTGATGTCCATAGTCTAATGTTGAAGTTATTGACACAATTTATTAAAAGATCTTTTATTCAGTGGTAGCATTTTACAAAAACAACTAATTCTCGAAATCCATAGTGATTTACTACGATACTTAGAATCTCAAGTCATTGAGTAGCAAATTTGTCATTGTAGGCATTTCTCCCAGCACTTTCCTTCATCTATTTTCTGGGTATCCACAGCGAAGCGTTTAATTTCGAACACTTACAACTCTTAATTTCCACCGATAGTAAAAAGGTTTTTCTTGTACATTTGTACATATTTTGATATTATACACAAGGGATCTTAATAACATCGATATATATTACCTAATGAAATATCTGTTAGATTTTAAATAAATTAAAAAATATTAAATTTATTTAAAATTAAGGTTGGTTATAACATAAAATAGTCACCACTACGAAACTAAACACTATCTATAAAACTAAGGAAATCTACTACTAACTAAATACCAATACTAACACACACTCATTATTGTCACTGGACTTGCACAGTAGTCTATATAAGATTCCAAAGTGTATAAGATTGTATTTGTATTTTCTTCTAACTATATCTGTGTAAGATTATTTTTATTTTTTGTTTTGAACTTAAGTAATTTATCAAATAGAATACAAATTTTAACATTCATGGGAATTCAGAATTGTAAACTTAAGGATAATTTAAAACGAGGTACGTAAGTTACCTAGCTTTAAAATGAAATGTAACTGGTGATTTTAAAAAACTACATACTCCCGACGTTTCAGTTACTTTGCAGCACCCGTGATTACGGGCAAACGAGGAATTTTGAATGAAAACTCTTGAAAATCTTAGATGTCATTATAAAATGTTACCGAGTTATTTTTTTACAATGAAACATAAATAAAAATTACTAAACCTATTAAGAATATCGATCAACAATTGTGTATATATGTATATTTAACTGTTACCACAAATTAAGGAAAAATGAAAATATAATCTAAAAATATATTTTGGATAATAATATTTAATGTCGGAGTGGTGCTTATTCGTGTAATAATATATTAATCTAGTAATTGTTAATACAAAAGCTCTTCTTCTAAGGAGGTACATTAGCCGTGTGTTTAACTAGGTATTTTTTTCTATAAACACAATAATAATAACGTTTGCTTCCGTAACTAATTATTACTTTCATACAAAATAAATATATAGTGAAGACTTTAATATCTACTAATTTATTTCGTATAACCAATAAACCTTGAGTTTAAAAGTTAGCCTGCCAAGTATAGAATTAATATTAAAAACTATGAATATCCAGATGGAATTATTTCGTGATCGTAAAATTTTAATTTGAATGCTATGATTTTAAAATAAGAATAAGTCTCGTTTCTACATTTTTTAGGTAACTGAAATCTTATATTTAGAAAGATATTAAAATGTCTTTGAATATTGAGTGATTAAACATATAAAACTTAGGCATTGAAAAAATTTAAGATTTTAAAGGCTCGTGATAAATTTACTTTATATATAACCTGATTAGAATACCTATTACTTAAGAGAATTCACAGTGGATTAAACCTGTAAAGAAACCTATTGGGAATTTTCATCTGATACATAAAAATAGAAATAGTTGGTGAATTTAAAACAATAACTTAAGTTATACACAAATGAGATGAGAGGTGAATAGGAGGGAAAAAATTTGCATTTGAGTAATGTTCCTATGCAGTAGTAAGTTCCTCAACAAAGACAGCTGAAAATACTCCTTATGAAATGTAATAATGGAATATTGTGTTGATATTATATACGAAACTATTTTGTCAGGCATATATTGCGAAACATTCCTAGGTAGACTTTTTTAGTGATAAAAAAATAATAAATCATTGAAGTATGGACATTTTCATAATATATAAAAACATAGTGTCAGATAAATGGTGCAATTCGAAAATGATGCATTTAAGTTATGTAATTTATTCAAAAATTATTACATTGACTTCGTATAGATTTAGTTTTACAAATTGACGCTCATTAGTATAACTCACTTAGATAAAATTATAAGACCATTACTGAAATCAGAGGTCTTAACATACATACTAATAGTGAGTAATAAATCAATTCACTGACCTCTACGTACTGTCCGAAGATGGCCATCATTTTATCGTCGTAATGTGTTGCGAGGGCCCGCAGCAGGTCGCAGGCGGCGCGGCGTCTGGTCGCAACGTCTGAACCTTCGATATCACGCCACACATACTCCTCGGGATTATCTTCAAACAACTCGATATCTGATTCTGGAAAAAATACATATATACATACATTATCTTCAAAGGAAACGTATAGAAATCCGTCCGCTTTAAGTACTGGCAGCTCATTCCCTGACGGACATTATATATTATACATTATATATTCTGTTTAATAAGTATAATGAAATATCTGATTTGTGGCATATCGTAGGGGATAGTGCAAATCCGCAAATTAAACATTAAATTATTACTAAATGTCAAAAAATTACCTTAAAAGTCATTAATATGGAAAATGTTTCAAATTAAATTTTCTTGTGATAATATGCTTCCAATGTACATAAGCGGAATTATCCAATGGTAGTTACGCGGATATATCTGTATCAATGTATATAAATTTATCCTATCAAAGCTTGTTATTTAATGTAACAATGTGAATTTGACATAAGTTACTAATTCCATTTCTTTACTATTTTATACCAACACAGAATTTTTATATAATTAAATAACAAAATTTCCCATACATATGTACAGCTGGATTTTCACATGAGTTTTCGCAAAATATTCCAATCTCTTACCATCGGGTCGTTAAGTTCCTAAGGTAGTTTTAACTTTACTAATTACGTTAATTACTAAGGAACTAATTTGAATTCACTTGGAGATTGGTGTTAAAAAAATATCTTCATTTTACACACTGATAAAATATTATTCACGCCCAAACAAAACGGTATGCGGATGATTATGGATTGTTCTGATATATATTAAATTTAAGAAATATACTTTAATTAAGCGTTGACAATTGTTATTAAATAATTAATTTTAAGTTATGTTTAAATACCACGTAATTTCATGAGGCGCTGAAAACTTTAAGGACTTTTTCGAGAAGTTTAATGCAAAAAAATCACAAGCGTTTTGTTTAATATTTTTAAATAGTTACATAAAAAAACACTCAGACTTACAATATTGCACTTGAGTATATAAAGGTATTATAAAATTTTTATTTTACAAAAAGTATATTATTTCCAAAGCTCTTAATTTAAAAAAAAGTAGATTTTCTTAGATACTTCGTAGAAGGCAAATGATTTTTAAACAGTGCTAGCAAAATGTCTCAAGCATTTCTTTCAAGTTAATTCTCATTATTTTTTTATTTAATAATACAAATACTTTCACTTTAAAAAACTTGAAATATCATGACTGCATTGGTAATAAAAGCAGTAAAATGAAGTTGCAGTAGCACACTTTTATGTATATCACACAGTCTTGCAATGGGTTTTGCAATTGCACTCATACTCAAACGGACATATAGACGTGAAACCCTTCTTATAGTTAATTAATTATTTTTTTACTTTATACAGAGAATAGTTCTTTGGACAGAGACTAAGTAATGATTTCTATTAATTTAACATACTATTCTTTATACTACTATTCATTCCATTTTGTTAATTAAACCATAAAATACCTAGAAAATATATTAAAATCGTAAATAACTTTAAAATTGCTGTAATTTTAAAATTGTGAAACTTCAAGGTATTAAATTGACTTCATTAAAATGACAAAGGCTTTTAAATACGAAGGAGATATAAATAACTTAAAATCGAGCAAGTACAATAATTACAAAATAAGATTTCTCAGAAATTGAATCATGTAAATTGTCTTAATACGTTCCTTTTTACACTTCGGGCTTAGCCACTCTAAATCTAAGTACCTAATAAAAATATTTTAATGTATTCATGGAAATGTAGTAAAGAAAGGTTTAAGTAAAGAATTTGTGATCGTTTTAAGTTATGGACTTTATAAAATTATGCTGACGAAACCTCATTTTCGTTTTCTTTGAGATTTTACTCATTTATAAGAAATATCATATATTTAAAAAAAATATTGCAGTTAATTGGCAAAAGCTTATGAATTCAGTCTCTTATTTAAAAATTATTACCGTAAGTGTGGTGGTACGAATAATTGCAAAATAATAACAAATTAAAATAAATATATTTACCTATTTTACACTAAAACAAGTGGCACTAAATAAATTTCATGTATGTATTTATTTCCACAAATTAAATTTTAGAAATTTTAGCAATTTTCAAAAGAAATAAATATTCCTATTTTGTATAATTTGATCAGAATTTATAATGTAATGAAAGACGGAGTTATACTACATCTAATCGCCTATACAAAATACTAAAAGGACTGGTTCTATATTATTTCTCGTTGAAGCCGAGTAACCTAGTCATGTCCACTAACGGATGACGAAAGACACCTTGGTAATTGAAGTGGATTTGAAATAACTAGTTCACTTTAGTAAAATTAGTTACCAATTCCTCCGCCTACATGGAGATTTTCCAAAAGAAGGTATATATGAAAAGCTCCTTGTTTTACCACTGTGGTTCTTTCTGACATTACAAATTCTACTTTTCATTGAGATGTATTAAAAAATCGTTGAGTAATGATAGTTACGGTCATGGGCCTATATGATTTCAAACAGTTTTGTGAATTTTTGATCTCTTTACTCCAGGAGACTAATTGGCCTTAGCATGAACTGTAATTTTGATGAAGACCGAAGTAACATTTTGTTAATAATTAATTTTGTATGGCTTTTTTTATTATTTCAGAGATGAAAAAGATAAAAGAAATCAATTAATCTATCTATTAGTTAATATCGAATCTCATTTTCTCTGTTATACATATGTATGTGTCCGGACAAAGGAAACACGTGCTTGAAGTAACAGTCGGTCACTGTGAAACAAGAACTTTTATTGTTGTGCTCGTATAAGAAGTGCTATAACCGCTAGCACTTAACCTACTCGGTACACCTAACCTCACAGTTACCTAAGAAATCAACAAATTCTTAGAAATTATATCGCGGTTTATACGTCCCCAGATTTAATTAATTCTCACCCACAATTAAACAGATATTTTGGTACTGGAGCAATTGTTGGGGCATGTGATAATTATAAGGAAGTTGAGATTGGATCATATTCTTTTATAAGAATTTAAAACCCTTTTAAAAAACAAAAACACTTAAAGGATTTTTTATTGCCCAGAAATAAAAGTTGTAAAAGTTGTTTGTACCATATCAATGAGGTAATTTTTTTTTAAACATTTTAAAAATTTTATTTCCAAATAGTGCACATATAAAACCTATTTGAAAATTAAAAGAATATTCCTGCTTGTAAACTGACAACATATCCTTTTATGAATATCGTTTCAAGGTTTATTACAAACACTACGTGCTACATACACTATCAACTGTGTGCATCAAAGACTTCAAGCATAAAAAGTCACACTAAGCACTGATTGTGAGTGTATCAAGTTGCTTCCAGTCCTGTACTAAATTGTGGAAGATTTAAAACAGTCAGTTCACTTTAGCTCTGTGAGCTATTCCTTGATAAATTGTTATAAATCCATAAACAATTTAAAATATGTACCATTACGCACGCAATAATCTCCACTATAATTTAGTACATTTCATCACAATAAAACCAGCTTTTTTCGTTGTTGCTATACAGTTTGACTAGTTTAAATACAAAAGTGGTACTTTGAAATATATATGTAGCACTGTTGAAGCGGCTTTTTGCTTCATGCACACTGTCTTTTCAAAGAGAATTACGTCATTCTTTTATACTCTGTTACGCCACTTAAAGTAATTACACTATTATCCCTATTTTACAACCTAAGCAGATATAAACAGAAGAGAGATATATATTATATATTTATCTAGGTAGAATAGAAACTATTTTAATAAAATTTTTAAATAGGTAATACCTTAATTGTTTGAAGCTGTAAAGACTATTACTATTTTACTCTTGTGCCCAAATAATTCTATTTGTAAGTCTTAGTTATTGTAATCTGGATTTACCAATGTATAATATTCCTTAATATTTCTAATTTTTATTTATTTTAAGAACAGAGTTATATTTCAGTCATATACAACTCAACGATACTAAAAACAAGATCACTTAATTATTTAACTTTTTGAAACTGAAACTGATAAATCAACTTACACATTTTAAAATCAAGTAATAACTTTTAAGGTATTTTAAATAGATCTTCACAGAATTAAATTAATATAAAACAGATACCATAAATCTCCTGGATTTATGTTGGATATATTATAATAATAATAATAATAATAATAATAATAATAATAATATATATTCCATCAGATATTGATATGGTTTATCATTTACTTCGTATAAATTATTATAATCTACTAGTTTTTGCCCGCGACTTCATCCGCGTTAGTTTGGTCAAGAGGTATGTAGGTATAGCTGAACAGGCGAACTCTATTCCGTCTTAGAGGCCAAAAATAATCAGGTTTTTTATGTTTCAATCAAACAGAATGATTGACATATTAGTTAGTTGTCAAATCTAATGTCAAAAAAAAAACGTTTGTATGGGAAATAGAAAAGGGCTGTTTTAGTGTTTTCCCGGCAATTATTCCAATTTTTCTCACCTTTTAAACTTTCCCTGGACTTCCAGGAGTATTTCAAGACTAAAATTAGCCAAATCGGTTCAGCCGTTCTCGAGTTTTAGCGAGACTAAGGAACAGCAATCCATTTTTATATATATAGAAGATAGAAGATTGAGTGGAATAGGTCCAGGACAAAGTCTGAAATCTATAATAATAATCCTAAATGTCAAAACTCCATGGATATGAGGATTCCCGCTTTGTATGGTTTTGTACTATACCCTTACTTTTTGATATTTAATCAGAACATTCTGTAAAGTTTCATATCTGACTATTAGATTGGATTAGCCTATTAGATCAGGAATTTTACATAAAGATCCACGCACACTAGTGATAAATCTACAGTTAATCAAATTTTCTCCTTGTATTATATTGAAAGAACAGCCGCTATGAATATTATCTTTAGAACCATCGGCATACGGGTACAAACAATAAAACCTAAGATACTTATTAATATATTCTAATAATATACTATTGCTTAGAATTTATAATATGTATAAAATATTACATATATATTAAGCACAGCTTAGTTTAAGATTTCTCTAGGATTTTAATCCGATTCTATTGTTAAATAAAATTATATTTAAAATTATAAAGTCTTTTTCCATGTCACTAACATCATTTAGCGCAGTCATACATAGTTCTCAAAGAGAATTTATATTTCTTATTTCGGATATATGTCGTCTTAGAAAATTTGTAAATTATTGTCCTTAACAAGTTTTATATTTGAGAAAGTACAACTATTATAATATTATATTAATATATAACTACTTAGTAATAGAAACGTATTAATAGGAGATTCAAACAAAAAATAATGTTTGCATATATGTACAGTGGGCATAGGTGTATGATTAATGTTTTAACTAATTCTCAAAATTTGAAGATTAGAATTCCCCAAGCTCATATGTTATAAGTAAAAATTTTCTTTAGTTTAACGTTTTGTAATGTAAGCTCTACATATTAAGAAATAAATAGACATCGCCGGGCAACATCCTTCTATGGGCAAAATATAATATAACAGAAAATATATACAGAGAGATTAAATAAAAAAATCCATAATAATTCCAATTACAATGGCATTCAAATCACAGTATAAGGTAAACAGAACAATGGAACTTTCGTTTCGCGATAGCGTTATAAAGGCTTATGTTGATTTATATTACTGGCAGAAATGATGTTGAATTTATTTTTTTTAAAGTTTTAAAGGTTTGATGAATTAATGTAATTGAATGTCTCGTCTGTGTTTGGCGTTGAACATGGATGATTCAAATATTATTAACTCTTTGATATTTTTTAAATTAATAACTCTCACCTAATGTACTCGTAAACAGTACTAAATAATGATCTACTGTGATTGATAAAATATATAAAATATAATCATTTTGTTCTAAAGATAAGTTGTTTTATATACATTTATACATACTTTTAAGGATTTAACTGTTAGGTTTATAGGCTTTCCATGCCATCGGGTGGAACGTGTACTGTTAGTATTAACTGTGTTAGGGACTTGGTTGGTTTGTGTGAAAATAACATGTTATGCACGTAATATTAAAAAATCTCGTTTATATCAATTTAAATTACTAATGTTCTGTGGCTATATCATGAATGTCAAACAATAAGAGAACTGTTCAAGAATATCAATATTTAACTAAAAAGAAATTATTAATTATATATTCAAATAAAAATTTTGCTTGTCATTACACATCAAGTTTTCTCTGAATTCTGTGAAGTTTCCGCAGACTGAGGACATAACAGATGTATTTCATATGAAATTATATATCTATTATTATAAACACTTTACGAATTTCTCTCTGAGGCAAATTACGCAGCAAATAGTTAGTTCTGTGAACGAACTTGAAGGCAAAATGAGAGTTAAATTTTTATTTTATTAAAAAAAATGTTTTTCTGGTATTTCTTCTTTCTACTCGTTAATAAGGCAATCGCCTTTCTTAAAGTTTATTTTTCAATTTATTTATTAGGAATGAAATTATTTTAAATAAGACTTTTATTAGACCTTTGAGGTTTTTGGTCTAATACGTAGCTGAAATTAGAACATAAAAATATTTACTGGAAAATTTTAACATTTTTTTTTTTTAAACAAAATAATATTTTCAAGAAAAATGCTAACTGATGAACGTAGATTTTGACACACTATAAATCTGTGTGAAGCAATGCGTAACCTAATATTATCAAACATACTATGCATAGAAATCACTAAAATAATTAAAATTATATTACTCACACTATCATGTTTTTACACACACATAATATGTCGATATATAAACATTTACCAATATGTTTCTTATCATTAAATATCAAACATTAACAATTCTATTCAACTATGTATGTACTTGAAATTATAGTACATTTAGTACAAAGCAGAAGTAGTACAAGAACAAAATATAAGTATTTCCTAACAAAAAGTAAATATATTTTGGTTCATCCTAATCCGCTTCGTAAAATTTATCAGTAAGTACCTTAATATTAAAGCTTGAGTATAACTGTAACATTTCGCATTAAATTACAATATTAATTTTGCTTTGGCATGCACTTCTATATTGTAAAAGCTTTCGGCTACATAATTAAAACTGGAATGAGGATATAGTTAAAATAAATAAAAATATTTTGCAATTATTTAAGAAAATTTCCACTCCTTCCAAAAATTCTCTTCAGTTACTGTACTAAAACTGACAGGACGAAAATAAAGTAAAAGGGATTTCTATTTTATGATATTTTTTTATCACACTTATTTTCTTACTCATTATTATATTTTCTACATAACACATAATTTTCAAAATTGAAGGGCAAAGTAAAATACGATGATGATGTCGTTTGGGTTGGGAGTGTTAAAGAAATTATATAGAAAAATATGCAAAAACTTATTTAGAAATTGGCATTAACTTTTCTTATTCCGCTCAAACAATATAAA